CACTGCCACACCAGCCGTCCCAACTGCTGCCAGGAACCCACTCGCTGATATGATCAAACCACCAACCGCCACCCCTAAAGTGCCAAGGCTACCCAGAGCCGTCCCTATACTGGCCAGGCCTGAACACAAAGGAACGTCCAGAGACCCGCTCGCCCTCCTACTACACGGTGGGGTCGAAAAACGGCGGCCCACCACTCGCGATCTCTCACCCTTTAGTACCAGCAACCACCGCAGGCGCAGCCAGACCTCCAGTGAGAGCTAATAGGGCCCCTCCACCCAATGCTGCAGCACCTATCTTCATCCTTCGTGATAGCCTTGACCTGAGGCAACAATAGGGAGTTGGGAGCTCAAAGAGCCTCTATGAGAAGAAATTGTATTTAACAATCGATGAGAGGGTAATTTCTATGACGAGCCCCTAATCAACAACGATGGGAATAGAACCAGAGTTGCATGAACATCATAACAGCAGTCTAACCACTGGACCATTCTTACCCGGTACTGGCCTGAACATGGTCAACTCCTGGCTGGACCCGATTCTCCAGTCGCTGCTGCTGCTTCTGCTGTTGCTGTTGTTCTTCCTCCTCTTCCTGTCCTCTCCTCAACGCTGCATTCAACTCCAATCCAACCTCACACTCCCAAGCCTCAATAACATGCGATGATATACCAAACGCCTTGGCCACATCAAACAACGCGCAACGAGTTCCTAAGAAGAACCCAACCTCGACGACCCCTCAAACACACATGCCCTATTACGACTATTATATATATGTTGCTTCGCTCCGCCCTCCTTCGACTTCTTTGTCCATCCCTTCTTTTTCTTCCTCTTCCCGCGAGTTCCATCATCCCCAGCAGACCCTTCTGGCCCTCCTCCTAGGAGATTAAGAGTGAGGTCTCGCAAAAGCAAGGATACCTACGATACTGTCAGTAACAGCTCCAGGGCAACTCACAACGTGGGCAGCTACTCACCGACGCCTTTCCACCATCGATAGACATCAAATGTGTTACGAATCCATCAGACTCGGGAGGCGGTGATCGCCATTGCAACTGAAAAAGTAAAAATAATAAACGCTTCGCTCCGCTCAAAGAAGTTTCTACTCCTCCTGGTAGGTTCATTTCCAGCAATTGAGTCA